TACAAAACATTTAAGATTGTAATCAGAATAATGACTTACGTCTTTTAGAAGTGATTTATCATAACTATCGGCTTATCTAATTATTTTTCTTGTTTCCGTCCGATAGGATATACATCTAATATATAACTAAGATAACTTCGAAATAAGTATTCAGTAATTACATTAATCGCACTAAAGGTAAGTGCTTCACTGTTATTTATTTATTTCAAGAAAAAAAAAAGAAATCATAATTCAAGCAGGTCCGAAATAAAGAATTTTGTAAGTTATATCTACTTGTACTGAAATTATGAAGCGGTGCTGTTAGAATTTTATTATTAAACTTAACCCGGTCAAGAATTGCCAGAAAAATGAGTCGAATGTAATATCTCCATATTTGCATTAGATTTTTTTAATAATTTGTCTTTGTTGTGGTAGAATAAGTAAGGGGCCTATGCCCTTCAGTTCTTTGTGTCTTACATATGTTATTTGTTCTCTCTATTTCTCTTTTGTTAATCTTGTAAGTCTCGAATTTTTTTCAACATTACGTATTTGACGTATGAATGATGATGCAAAGTGGGTCACTTGTCCCACTCTCAACCCTGACTTGAAGGTTGTATGGTAAAGTCACAAAAATAAATATTATTTATCACAATGAGGAAATATTTAAAAAAAAACATTAGTTCCCGAAATCAAACTAGATGTTGCGGTTTTCCTTCATATATAAAAGTAAATTAATTTTCAAAACTCAATAATCAATTCATATTCTGTTTGTACATTTTCGTATTTGTATTTATATCTAAGGTTCGAACTTTAGAAATTTCAGTTGAACAAAGGAAATTACTATCTTCGGTCCGTTCGTTTCCTGCAAAAACCATTTGCTAGAGTCGCCATCTAGTGAGGTGCTTTTTTTTTTAAATACTTCCTCATTAAATGAAAAACTGAAATGTATGCTAGTGTTTATTATTAGAATAATGTTATTAATTAAACACAAATGCAATTTTAATTATTTATCGAGTTTCAGTACTTTTGCTCAACCTTAGGAAATGTTAGGTACACCCATGGATAAAGAATCATTCATTATATTTAGCGTTAATAATAAGTAAATAAATTCCAGATGAAGCTGTTCATTCTATTGTCTGTGTTGTCTTTGTTGGCTCTGGTTGCCGCGAAGCCTGTAGAACTAGAGGAAAAGTCCAGAACAAATAATGAGTTTCGTTTGATTTCGTAAGTACATTTTAATACTATTAACATTATCAGATCGATATTGGTCTGGCCCTGGGAGGAGACATGAGATGTACGTATTCACGGTAGACACAAGAAAAACCAGTCGGCTACTGTAAAATATTCTAATAATTACCGTTAATATACCAAGAGACAATAGAGTTTTTGAAAGACCCAAGGAATCTACTTATATAATGTTAAATAGTTTATAATTATGACGAATATCAAAATAATACTGAATATAAGTAAATTTAACTGCAACAGTCTTGCATTTCAAATGAAGATCAGATATTACACATCAGAATGTATGATTTTATGTACAATAACTATTTATGCTGGTAAGGTAGATTAGTAATTTCAAGCCAATTTCAATAAATATCTTATTTATTTTACAGTGGCAACATAAGACAGAGTTCTCCAACAACCCATACGTGGTCTGTTGGTACACATTATGTCATCACTAGGTACGTATTGATACAAGTCGCTGGAAATGCGTCGGTGTCGCTGGTGGGCGGTGGACCCGGAACCAACTATTTGTCCCTGATGTTCTTGCAGTCACCTTTCGATCAAACAATGTACGAGTACGACTATGAGATTTGGGTACATGAGGTTGACTCTTCATCGAGGACGAACATTGAATCCGAAAATGCTCGTGTTACCGAAGTAATAGAATATATGTAACCATGCTATGCCTGCATAAAATTCATCATCAGCGACATGCAAGAGAAATTAATATAATATTTACAGAATGTAATAAATTGAATGAGCATATTTATGGAGTTTATTTTATTAATTTTTAATTTACTACTTATTAGAGATGGGCCAAGTAGTCTAGTAATTTTTAAAAAGTTACACAACAAAGAACAATAACAAAATATGGAATATAATGTTTTATGAAACGCGCGTAATGAAATATAATGCTTTTAAGACGGCGCCTGCTGGACGACACTCGCTAAACCTACTTCTTCCCTCTATATTTTCACCGCAACTACTCCTTTTTATGCCTTATAGTATTAGAGTTGTTCTCTACCACTTTCTACCACTTCGGACTTGGTCAGTATCTCGACACGACCCAAGTGACCATTTCGCGTATTAGAAAACACCGAGATAAATATGCAACATGTGTGTAAGGATCTATTGTAAATTTTATGTGAATGAACAAGTTTATAAAAAAAAACTTGTAATAACTAAGCACATATCTATACTATTATAAAAACGTAACAGGTCGATGTCTGTACATTGAAGATATATGTTATGAGGGACATTTATAAGCGTAATAGAACACAAAACAATGATTTTTAATTTTTTTGTCTGTTTGTCTGTGCGTTTGTGCACGATAATCTCAGAAACGGCTGAACCGATTTAAATACAGTTTTCACTATTATATTGTGGTATTCTTTCGTTAACCTTTGCGAAAGTTGCTTAACAACTTAACTCAATCGGTTCACAAATAAAAAAGTTATGTCAATTTGAAGTGACGTGTTCGCCTAAATTGCTATGAAATATTATGTTTTATTAAATTTTCATCTTTGATATATTGATCATCATCATTAACTCTTCCACAGTCAAACTGTAGGGCCTCAGGCCTTTGTTTAATAATTTTTGGTCACCCATCCCTTGAACAACTCTTGCCAAAATTGCTTAGCAATAGCGATCGTACGCAGCGGTGCTTATCCGTAGCACCACCAAACTACGAATAAATATTGTCTATAAAATGATAATTTGTATGATGACAAATAAAAAAAAAAGATTCCAAAATTTTGACATATCCAAAGTAAGTTGGCCTCAGTTATATATAGTCAATCGTACTAAATAGGGTTCAGCTTATAATAAACGTCGGTATACGATCACGCGAGTAAGAGAACAAGCGAAAAGAGCCTTCCGGTGATGCAATTAAGCATCGAGTAGTTTACAGTGAACGCATATTTTCATCAGATTAGGTTCACGTCGTCGTCGGGGGCAGCGGAGGTGGTTGGCAGCCGCCCCCGCATTGCACGGTTTCGTCTGTCTGGGAGAGGCTGATTTAGTCGGTCACAGGATGGGTGACCAAAAAAATATTATCTCAAGCAACTCCAAGCTTCGGAAGGCACGTAAAGCGATTGGTCCCGGTTGTATTTGAAGTCGTTATTACCCTCCAATCCGCATTGGGCCAGCATAGACGGTCGTGGCCCATCCTCCTTAACCATCCATAAGGAAGGCCTGAGCTCCTGCAGTTGGTGAGGTAAAAGGGCCGATGATGATGATTATGAGGGCCGTTCAAATCTGACGGAAGCTCAGTTAAGCACTTCTCGGAAGTATGTGTTAGGAGACGATTTCCTTCGAGTGTGGAAAGTCGAAATTTAAATATGTGTATATTTTTTTATATCAATAAATAAAACTCCACGTATCTTCCGTCAGACATGTACCGACCGATTTTTATTGACAAAGAAAGAGATCGGACGAAAAGCGCTCGGAGACACTTGAAATACGCGAAGCGTATTTAACTGCCCATCGCGAGGCTCATGCACTATAAAGTTGAATCTGAAGCATTTACCGTCAGGGACAATCTCTTGAGCTCTCGGAGAACTCATACAACAAGCGTTTAATCTCAGGAAACTTCTGAAGATCGCATAGCGCGTCTAATTGCTGATTGTAACATACATGCAGTATGGTATTAGTATGAAACTTCCTTTTATAGAGAAATGCGCTTGGTCTCTGAAAGAGCTCGCAGTTTGCACAATAGAGATCGAGAAAGTAGTTTCGATTATCACCAACCCGTGTTGCCTTCATACTCCACAGGCGTACGGCAGTTAAGTTTCATAGGGTATAATGAACTAGCTGTTTTCCGGCGACTTTACCGCAAAATTATAGCCTATGACATCCGCGTCTGATGTATCTTTCCGTACGTCGGAATCGCTCTGAAACTATCGGTCCAGTAGTTTTGGAGCAAATTCGATGTAAACAAACAAACAACCAAACCTTTCCTCTTTATAATATTAGTATAGCTTAGGTACAAGATATCCGACGGCGTAGTGGGTTAGAGCATTAGGTTTAAATCGCAGTTAAATAAGTAAGTTAATACCGTTTGTGCATACATATAGACAAATAATAATAATTGAAAAAGATCAAAAATAAAAGAAGGACGGTTTAAAGGTACGAATAAAATACTCAGACACTAGCGACAATCAGAGCGCGAGAAACCTGAAATATAAAAAGATAGAAAAATAACATTCGTAAGGACTGTTCACAGGATGGGTGACTAAAACACTATTATCTTGAGCACTGTGCACAGCACTGGCACAATGCACGTTAAGCCGTTAGTCCTGGCTCCATCAGTAATGTTAACACCCACCGATCCGCATTAAGCTCGCATAGTGGGTTATGGCCCATTGATCTTATTCGTTTCGACTCCATTCATAGGAAAAAAAGAATTCTACCAAAATACTTCCCACGCAGACAAAGTCGCGGACACAGCTAGTCATTACTAAGAACACAGGAGTACAACTACATTTCTTAGTTTACTTGTGATAACGGAATAACGTTTTTATAAACCCTAATTAAAATTAAAATAGTTGTAGAACAAAATCGCTTCTACATATTATGATGGTTATGTTAATTTTGGGCTATTTTTCAAATAGTGGATATAAATGGTGTGAAGTATCGTGTACTAATGTAAAAATGGGTGTTCCGCAAAGCTCTATCTTAGGCCCATTTCCAAGACCAATCCTGATTGGTCTGCTGACAGAATGTATGTCAGATTGACATATAATTCAGGGCTTTATTTTGACATAGCAATCAGTAGCGTTACCATGAGTTTACAACGACCGTACTCGCTAGCGACTGCGTAAATGATTTGTATGGAGAACTGTACAGCGCTCCTAGCGGTCACTTGTGAAACTAAAGATTGCTAGTATGAGTCCTATAGTAAATTTACCTATCGAAAGCCAATCGCTAGCGACTAACGTTTTTTACGTTTTGTAGCTTATCCCATAGAATATCGGTACCATGAGTTACAAATTTGACAAACGTCATCGAGAAATACCGTAGCGACTGTAGTTAACTCTCTCACTTGCAAAACGTAGCGTGAAAACTTATTACTCTCGTTAGAGTATTGTTTCATAGATTATTTTCAGTTATTATTGACCCAAATAATGTCAACTAGGCATTATCTTGCGTGGAATATGTTGTCATAAGCTGCATATGAAGTCAAACGACGAGAATAGAGAAAATTTGAAGCGGATATGAGAAATATCGGCAAAAATATCTAGCTCGGTGGCGTAGAGGATAAGCGCCGCGGCCCGCGATCTTTGTTGTTAAGCAACTTTCGTAAGGATCGGTCACGGGATGGGTGACCAAAAAATTATTATCTCGAGCTACTTCGTGCTTCGGAAGGCACTGACGTAAGAGGGCTGGTGATGTTGTATGAGAAATATTAGTGAGAATAATTTTATCAAATAATATAGGCTTAATAAGGAGTGTTTTGGTTTACTAAGGTCACCATTTCTGTTAAAACATTAAAAAGGGATACGTGATACGGATAACAACAAAAATAAATAAATGAATATAACGGGGTTAGATCTGATAGCATTGGATTAGGTTGTATATTCTTACTATATTTCAAAAATTTCATAAACTGCGTCTATTTTTAAAATTTTATGTTCGATAAATTACAACAAACAATGTATTATATTATTAAAGTCCCGCTAAAATTTACCTTAATCAAATAAAGAGCACTCAGCATTCCTTAACTTTATCTGAACACTTAAACAAATATTTCATCTAAAAAAACTGGAGGGCTACATTTTACTGTACAAAGTATGTATTGAGAAATGTATTGAAGTACATTCCTTTCCATATATTCAACCAATAACTGTATTTGTCATACACTAGTCCGCATTTAATGTTTAGGTATTATGCACAATTTACCAAAACAACCGCCAGTCAAGAAACAGTAATACTCAATGATTTGTCACAACACGGAAATAACCGAATAAATTCAATAATCAGTTACACTTCTCGTTATGAGAATGATCAGTGACGCTTAAAATTAGTAGGGTTTTATCTACTTTTTAAATTTGAAGATCTAAATAGCCGGATTCTTGTCCAAAGTCATCCTTTCTCACTCTATTTAGCATAATTAGAACGAGACAGTTTCATTTGGAGTGAAGTTAGGCGCAATACACGGTCACGTAACAAAAACTATTCGAATGTTCGAGTTAACGTTAGCGAGTATAGTAAATGTAAATGTGACTCATGGTACAACTTCTATCGAATACTATTCGAAGTGCGTTTATTCGCTATCGACTGCGGTAAAGTAATGAGAATTTACGATAGCAACTCATGGTAGCGCTACAGGGCTTCAGTTACTTCATAGACATGTCGATCTACAAGGCTGATATTTTCTTCAGCAAAATTGTCTGGCGTATGTGGCTATATTTTGTGAACTCTCACGATTTTTGACTCTAATGTTATCAAAATGGAGGGAAAGCAAATTCCGATTATATGTTTTCCCTCCATTTTGATCACTACTAACTTATTACAGAATGGCGCACGTTTATTCACCCCTATTCTAGAATGTTCCACAACACCTAGGTATTTTTTCGATTTAAGGTTTCTAAATATAAAAGTTTTTAATTACACATTTGACAACCCTGATGATTTTTGGGGTTGCAAATAGTGAAAATATTGTAAAAATCGGAGAAATGATTTTATTTATTTATTTATTTCATATCTTGTAACTATCATTACAGGTATAGCCCAATGCGATAGTGAAAGCAAAATTAATCAATTAAATTATGAAAATTATAATACACAAATTAACAATAAAACATCATAAAATCATTAAATTAATATTCAATAAATATTCATACATAATATATAAAAATAAAATATAAATGATTGTAGTCAGGGCATTAAAAATTCAAATAACAAAAATTACAGTAAAAATTAATACAAACCATTCAACATTTTTTTTTCAGTATAGCATCGCGAATGCCGATTCGATCAATATAAACCATTTTGAAATCACTGACGTATACGTATAACAAATAATATACAACGCAGCCTTTGTGAATTCATTCAGTGAGCAAATAAATATATCTATTCGATCAGCGATAAGGTTAAGAGTGCGGTATGCCCGCGAGGTTAGGTTAAGGTTAAGAGTGAGGTTGGTACGCGCGCGCGGCACAAACAACAACTGCGGTTTTCGGCGTCGCCACACGTATCTGTCCGGTACATATAGCTGTATTGACTCCAATATATTAGGATTATTAATATTTCCTCTAATAATTTTTAAGATATAGGAAGCCAGTGTAAGCTTCCTCCTGAAGCTAAGTTCGTTGTACCCCACCATTCCCAACACAAATAAGGTTGGATACATAAGTAGATAGAAAGGATACACTCCGTATAGTCTCATATACAAGAATCGAATGAATTTATTTTGTATCTTTTCGAGCATAGAAATATATTTAACTTCATGCGGTGACCAAACGACTGAATTACATTCTAACTGACTCCTAACCAATGTATTGTAAAGAGCAACAATAGCCTTCACATTAGTAAAGTTACGAACAGTACGTAAGGTGAATCCTAGAGTTTGAAAGGCCTTTTTACAAATAGTTGTGATGTTGAGAGATTGGTCGTGATTGTCAATCCAAAGTCCCTAACCTCTGTGACTCTAACCATCGGTGTTTCCTCCACATGATACCTATATTAGATAGGATAGTACGAACGAGAGAAGTTAAGTTATAATTAACTATAATCAAAAAATTTTCGTACACGTTAACAAAATTCAAAGTGAAAAGGAGGGCAGTATCTGACAAATATAATAATAATAATTATTTATTGAGTAACTATAGAGCGTAAGAAATCAATTTCCCCTATCTCCCAAATTAGGTTGCCTTGTATATCAGAAGTCTGTGCTCTCTAAATATTACATTTAGCTTATTCAGACTAAGAAATTTAGTACAAAAATAATAAGAAAAAACAATACATTTTCAAATTATTTTATCAGCTCAACCGTGATTGAACCGTTCTTCAAGAATGAGGTGGAATAATATTTGGTTTTTAAACATTGTTGAACATTCCAATGTTAATACATATTATTGCGCAAATAAAATAATTTGACTTTGAGAACCAGGCGTGTGAGTGTGAATGAGTAAATGTGTATATAATACATCTTTACAACTATGAAACTACGGTATCTAAATAGCAACTCCCACGTCTAGTCAGTACCCCATAGACAAATTCACATGCATGCACAAACGGAAATAAATATCGGAAAAATCACCACTCTATACGTTTTTCGTCCCACCACGGACCATGCACGGGAATTGTAGACTTTACAGAGCTAACCACCGATACTGACTACAGACACGGACTGGTCGTAGAAGTTGCTAGATATCATAGTACCAATGACGTCCGCAAGATAACGCCCGATTCCACTAAATGTTATTTTATAAATAAAAATTTATGATAAAGCTATAATTACCCATTAGATATTAAATTAATTAAAATCAAGCAAGTGTCCGTTTAGATTAAGAAACCTAGTCAATCGTGAGTCAAAAAAGAGCCTGCGGTTCTTTCTCAAAACTTTTGGCAAAAAAGAGCCTGCGTTTCTTTTTAAAAATTTGGGAAAGCGTGGACGGCAATGATGAAACTGTAAGTTCTGTTATGAGTTTAAATTGAATTTCTAATACTTTGATACAAATTAAACACAAACCCGCTTTTCTAGATCTTGAAATTTAGGAGCTGTTCTTCGCGGTTGCCAATGGCGAACTCTAAAATTAAATTATTGTAATTATTTAAGAGTGTAAAGATTTGATTTATATTAAGTGAGAAAACATTAGGATTTACCGTCCACTGTTCTTACATAGAAAACTGGGTTATAATAGTTTATTGTTAGTCGATATACGATATCTTAGCGAATACTATGGTGTTATCTCGTTTACTTTGATGATTAACGACTGAGTTGGTAACACTGCTGTCATATACATATTACATAATCATCAGTTTGTTCGTAGTTATTTACATGTTAAGAAGAAGCTAAGAATCACGGTCCCTTAGCTCCTTCTTGAAAATCCCTAAGAGAGAAGAGATGACTATCGAACCGTACTTATTACCGTATTAACGGAATTCCTGTTTACCAGTAGGGGAAGGGAAGACAAGATGGAAGAAGTGGGTTAAAATGGAAACTTCTTATTATAGACAAAATATGTAATCCATCGCGTGTCTCTACGTGTCTCTTTGAGTGATGATACACACAAAGAGACACGTAGCTGAATGTGATTTACCAACGACATTTAGTCAGATTTGCATCAGCCAGTAAAATGTACAAGCTATGTGTTCATTTCATAGAAAAATATTACAAAAACGTTATATTTCTCAGCTTTAATTGCCTAAGTAAGATATAAGACTATTTTGCCTTGAGAGTAAATATGTACTACTTACAAATCAAGTGTACAATAACCAAAGCAAAGTATTCGTAAGTTTTAGATTTGGCATTGTAATTATAATACCAGCGTACTGGCAAGATGAAATTTGAAGTTGAGAGCAAAATGAAAGTAGTAAAAAAAATTAAAGTTAACAATGAACATAAATATTATTGTAAAAACAAAGGGACATAAAAAAGGAAGGGAGAACGGAATATAACAGGGAAAGGTAAATAAATATTTTTCCCTGTTTACCGAAGAAATTACGATATAAGAGACAGCTTACGATGTCTGTCGTATTGTAAATGAGTACGTTAGTTAGAAAATGGTTGTATTTTAAGTATTAATTGCTAGACTTAAATTTGTGTTATATATATTCCAAGGCTTAAAGGCAAGCTTTCCATTTTGCCCTCTAGATGAGCCCTCAAAATGGAATTTCTCAGGGTTTTTCTTTACGAGTTATAACTCATTTTTGACTAGAATATAGTTATGGTTTATTAGAAATTTGTTTTCATTATTTAATTGACTTTCAAAAATAACTTAAGTAGGAGACTTAAATCAAGTACATTTATATTTATTACTACATAAAGTTAGCACTTCCACCTTGTCTCTTTCCGCTATTGTAAAAATAATTCAGAGAAATCCGGTATTTGGAGCTCTAGTTGTAACAGACTTACGGATAGATAAACGAGTTTTAAGGTTCCATTATTTCATTTATTCAATTAAAGAATCCTAAAGATGCGTAATGTTATCGACCTATGTTGCTATTTACCTGATATAATGATTCAACAGAAATCGATAAATAATGATTTAATCTTGTCATATCATTTTTTATTGAGGTATATAATGCGATCATACGTATCCAAAATAGTATTGAACAGCTGTAGTTTCAACTAGTTGGAAAAACTAAAGGATTTCATTTTTGATTAAGAATATTTTAATTAACAAAGGTGAGTTTTATACGGTTCAGTTGTTGTAATATGCTTTATTTATTAACTTGTATTTTTACAAAGAAAAGATAATAAAATAGAATTCCTTTTACTTCCATTTAGTATTTTATATCGCATGTATACTATTTCCTTTTGTTTGATCGTTGGCGGTAGGTCCATGTTTATCGTATTATTCGTTGATAAGAATTTCAATATAATTTGTATGGTTAAAGTTCATTTAAGAGGGCGCAAACACCGAAAAACAATAACTAGTTTTGTATAAAGTAATAACATACAAATAAACTGTAATAAAAATAAGAATACTGCGTCATATTTCTAAGTGTTCTTAACATCACGTCGGTTAAATCAATATGAACGTAGGAAATTCCATAAAAACCTTATTTTATTTCCGCTTCTGATTTGATTACATTTATAGGCAAAATTCATAAATATGTGAGTCATTTTGTAGCCGAAGGAATTATGCAGCTTTTTAAAAAAATCGTAGGTGATCGTTTGCGCGTAATTAATTGTAAACCGTTTTTGCTGCATAATTTGACATCATTCCGGTCAGCCTAATTGCCAAGCGCAATAAGATAGTTTTTTAGCTTTACGCTTCTTAAATTGGTGTCTTTAGAAATGTATGGATTTGGTTATAAATTTGAATTGGTGATCCTCTAGACAGGGAAAACTTTCCCTTAACGTCTCCTAAATTGGGATCTTTACCAAAGTCGATGTTGTCCATCGGTTTTAATTATATGTGCTTATTTTGTTTACAGATGAGATTCTCAATCCTCCTTGTTCTATCTGCTCTGGCAATTATCCAGGCTTCTGTAATTAATGCGCCGACAAGTAGAGCTAATCTCAACGTAGGATATGTTACTGCCGGTGACAGACTCTTATACAGGTCAGTATTATATTTTATTTACACTAGCTACTTTGCCATAAATTACGAGGGTCAAACTGAAAGTTCTTAGAAAATTATAAACTGAGCAAAGTAGCGAGATATCAATTTTATCATACCATATTTTTTAAAACGATTGCCTTAAAATATTGTAGAAGAATAGATAGTTATTCTATAATAAAATTACCAAGTTACTTCTTTTCCAGCACATATGTCAGCAGGCCAGCGATGGTAAACGCAGTCCAGCGCCAGGATCTGGTTTATCGTGGCAGTATTGGAACAAGGATTAGTGCCATCAATGCTACAGAAGTTGGTGTTAGTCAGTTTGCTTCAGCGTGGGTGATTGCTGGTGGGATTCGTGCCAACAATGTGACCATCAGGTTCCAATCAGCAGTTGGTCGAGGCTACTACTACAACGTCAATATTTGGGGCCGATAATTTATATAAAATCATTTAAATTTATATAAATACAATCTATACTATGTTTAATGAAAACGTAACCGATCGATGTCTGTACATTAAAGATATATAAAAAGAAAAAACAGTTATGAGAGGCATTTATAAACGTAACAGAACACAAAACAACGATTTTTATTTTTTTTGTCTGTTTGTCGGTTTGTCTGTTTGTAATTTCAAAAACGGCTGAACCGATTTTGGTTTAGTTTTCACTTTTATATTGTAGTAACCTTCCGTTAACAATTAGTGTAAGTTTTAATTCAATCGGTTTATAAATAAAAAAGTTATATTAATTTGAAGTACTGTGTTCGTCAAAATTGTTATGAAATTAATTGCTTAATTCAATTGTAGTCTCTGATATATTGTTTATCTGATATATTGTCAGCTCTTTAACATCCCCATGCAGTGGGGCTCAGGCCTTTATTTAATAATTTTTTGGTCACCTATCCCGTGAATAACAATCGCGGGTAGCGGCGCTTATCCGTTGCGCTACCAAGCTACTTATTAATATTGTCTGTAAAAATATTTTTTTATTTTATTATATTTGGGAAACAAACAATATTTATAATAAATACAATTGAAAAATTTTAAAATAACACATTAATCAGTAAAGTTTCCACTAATAGTTTTTACAATATACATGCCATTTTTCACATTAAAAAATAAATAAATTATTATTTGGTTTAATTTTCATTAATCACTAACAAAAAGAATTTTTAATGTCAACAATTAATGTCAAAGTTACACAATGGTCAATATTCTAATTGCTCGTACATTAATTATCAAATTAAATTAAAACTATAAATAAAAATAATAACAATATCGTTTAATGTTCGTCAGGATTATCCTTTATATTTTTTACAAGTTTTTTTAGAGAAGGAATTGAGCAGTTTAAAATGCCAATGGAGTTAAATTTCATGTCATATTCTTTACATGATCTATAAACAAAAATATTTCCTGCATAATTAGTTTTAGTCAATGGGACAGAAAAAAACTTTTTAGGCTGTGAACCTATCCGAGAGCATCTTATATTAATATTCTGTAATAAAAATTTCGAGTCAACGTGACCTTTTAAAATCTTATACAAAAACATTTAATCCCTCTCTATACGACGATCGAGTAAAGAAGGAATACGAATAGGTAAGTGGTTATCGCAAACAGATCTAAATTTGAGGTGCTTTTCAAATTTTCTGTTGATTTTTTCAATTGCGTCAATATAAACTTTGTACTGTGGATTCCATACCGTCGATGCGTAGTCCAAACCAGATCGTACATATCAATTAAACAATAACATTAGAGTGGAGTTATACTTAAAGTCCCGTCCAGTCCTCAAGACAAAGCCAAGCATTTGATACGCTTTCGAAGTTATGTGTTCAATATGTGCATTAAATGTTAATTTGTCATCTAAATATACGCCCAAATCTTTCACCACCGGCACCCTTTTGAGCACAACATCATTCAGTTTATAATTATAATTTATGGGCTTAAGTTTACGGGAGAAAGATATAGTATTGCATTTTTCAGGATTCAGAATTAAATAATGCTGTAAACAATACACACACAATTGGTCAAGATCTGCCTGTAGTAACACGCAATCAATGGGATCCTTAATTATCTTAAAAATCTTCATGTCATCAGCGTAGAAAAGAATGTCAGAATTCTTTAGAATAGAAATCACGTCATTTATAAATAAATTAAAAAGAAGGGGTCCAAGGTGAGAACCCTGAGGCACTCCTGATGTTAAGGGCACAAAGGTTGAGCAAAAACCTTTAATGTTAACGGCCTGGCTTCGTTCTCTCAGATATGACTCAAACCACCGCAGAAGGTCACCATGTATACCGATTTCACCAATTTTCCTTAGAAGTATTGAGTGGGAAATTTTGTCAAATGCTTTAGAGTAATCAGTATACACAACATCAACCTGGTTGCCCTAATCCAAAGCGATTGCTACGCGGTGTATGAGTTCAGTAGACTTCCCGCTAATGAATCCGTGTTGCTGCTCAATAATTTTAGGACGCAGCAGTGGAAAAATAATGTCGTAAATAATCTTTTCGAATAACTTAGGAATGGTACTAATTTAGCTATCGGTCTATAGTGCCTAATATTGTGCTTGTCACCAGACTTATGTACAGGAACTAGGTGGCACTTCTTCCACACTTTAGGCATTTCACCCCCTTTCAAAGACACATTAAAGAGTAAAGCCAAGGAAGCAGCAAGGGTATCATGGCACATCCTCAAAAATAAGGGTGGAATACCATCAGGCCCACATCCTTTCGATACGTCAAGTGATTTTAAATATTTCTTTACCTGGTCGGTAGTAACGGTTACTGTGCTAATGACTGTTAAATTATTCTTAACTAAAGATTTCGATGAATTTGGACAAAGTGATACAATTAGGTCAAAAACAGATTGAAAGTAACCCTTAAATATATTACATACAGTTTCACCGTCATTTGAGGCAGCTTTGTCAAAAAACATTCTATCCGGTAGACCAGATGAAGACCTTTTCAACTTTATAAATGTCCAAAATTATTTTAACAAGGGGACTAGAAAACCAAATTGGATATCTAGCATCGCGTCGTAGTGTCTTAATAGGAATGTTCTGAGATACAATATCATTAATTAATTTATAAAATTTAGCAACAGCTTCTTCGATACCCTACATCCCCCAAAACTTCCCAGTCAATCGAAGCTCTTTCATTATTTATTACATCATAGTCCGCGTTTCGAAATAAATGCACAGTACGCGACGCAGATCGGATCATACGTAGGCAAACTGAGTTTAATTGAATATCCATAGCTGGATGGTGAACATCTTCATCAACCAATGGGTCCCTACTATGAGCAACAACACAGTCTTTTCCACAAATAACGAGGTCCAGTAGCCTATTATTAACATTAAATATGTTGTTATACTGTCTCAAGTCATTAAAATTTAAAAAACTCTGCAGGGATTGGACCAAGGTATCACCGTTGAGTGTGGAGCAAGTCATGAACGGCTCATGAGTATTAACCGTCCACTGAGCAGAAGAGATATTAAAATCTCCTAATATTAAGTAAACGTCGTCTGTATTGATAATTATACTATCAGATACTACTTCAAACATCTGAGTCAAACTATCCAAATGCCGAGAGCAATGTGGGAAATAAACACAAAAAATATGAAGATGTACAGGTTTAGAAGTATACCTCAGTTCTATTGTCACTTCAATAACCTCGGGTGCAGCATCTGGCATAGATTTTACGTCATATGATCGCACTAGCAGCTCGCGTCGCACAGCTATAAGCACACCACCACCCATATTGTCTCCTCGAGTTTTATAGTCACGATCACATCTATAAACTCTATAACGTGAATCAAATATTTCCAAGTCATAAGTTCCGGGTAAAAGCCATGTCTCACTCAAACAAATAATGTCATTATCGACCTGCAACACGTTACGGAAGACTGTATTAGTTTTTGTTCTCAAACATCGGACATTCTGATAATATACATGCAAACTTTGTACATCCATCTATATCTTAGGTATAATAATACAATAACTCAATAAGCTCACTATCAAAAAGCAAAAGATTGAAAAACTCAACAAAACGCCCCCAAACAGGGTGAAAAGCATATCCTCCGTACTATATGAATACACGAACAAGTTAACACTATAGAGAAAAACGTCCCAACAATAAAGTCTGAATAAGTCACATTCCAAAATGCCCGGAAATATGCTCAAAAGCATCAACACTATTATATAAATACGTTAAAAAAATAAACAGTATACAAAGCAATCACAAGATTTTTTTTTAAAGGAAATCTTATTTGTTTTTGTTTAAATCAGATTTACTGGAAATGTGTATAACTGGTGATGTATCCGAGCGGCGCACTTTTATCGCACAATTTTTAATCCATATGTACTTGTACGCTTTTTCCTTACATAGTGACTTGACACGCTGCAATAAAGACTTCATAGCACTAGTTAAGTGATTATTGAAATGAATAAATGAGTCACCTTGTATATTTATATCAGAACTTTTAAGCCTTAGTTTTTTCAAGGTTTATAGAAAATCATTCTTTTTCCAGCGTGACAAGAAACGGACGACAACTGGTTTAATTTTCTTATTTTCATTATTCTTAGGCGCCACACGTGTAACAAAGTCAATATCTTTTGAGGGATCAAGCGGAAGTTTTGTTTTATTGGAAATATCCCTCAAAATTTGCATTAAATTTTCTCCTTTTCTTTCTGGGATACCAAATATTTCCACATTAGAACGACGAGCCCACTGTTCCTGTTTGTTGATGTCCACCTCAGTGACAGCCATTGATTTTCCAATATTTCCAATTTTCGATTTCAAATTTGAATACGACTTGCTATCCTTACAAAACTCATGGATTCCCTAATCGAGGCGATCTCCTCATTAATTGGTTCAACATCCCTAGAAATTGCCTAAGCAATAGCCGAACGTAATTCAGCCCTCATGACCGACATTTCTGAGGCTATGATGCTTTTGACAGTTTCCAATATTGTAGGATTTGCCTCATAAGAAACATGTTGAGTAGGAGAATCAATACATGATGCGCCTCTACGAACGTTTACATTTTCTGCGCCTGTTCTAACAGGAGTATTGTCATTAATTAGTGTTCTTGGTTGACTTAATGAACATCCAGGGCAAAGCCAAGACCGCCTTTGTTCAGCACGGAAGATCCTTCTCTTATCTGAACTATATAGTCATGCCACATGATAATTCAATTTGCACGTGGTGCATGACAGTGAACTAGAGGTACCATCGACAGTGGATTTACAGCATGCGTATTTCATGTTGACAATAGCAAAAAGCAAGACCAAGTGAAGTTGCAGTTAACACAGCAAAACCAGCACAAAATACAAGCGCACCAGAGCAATAACTGGTTAGTGGCACATTATATTAGCTAGCGTAATAGGTAACGTGAAGTATCCAGTAGTATCTTTTTACTTATCTTTCGCCCCAAAATCAGGAAAAAATTTAAGAGTGGCAACCCTAGAATACTGCCAGCCAACTTTATTGTTACACTTTGAGGGTAAACTCAGAATGTTGCACACAGTCTTGCTATGTCACATCAATAAAAAATAGTAAAAAAAAACAAATATTGTACTAATTGTTTTCTGGTGTAATCGGTAACGAATTCTCTGGATAACAGTACAGCAGAATAATCTTGGATTGCAAACTTCTTCAATGAATACACTGTATATATTTGTTGAAAAATCACAAATGTAATCAATTATTTTGACGACATGGGTGCTCTCTTACTATAGACAGTGTTGCCAAAATTTATATGAATATAAATAAAAAAATAAGTGTCAATATTTTGGATACTGAAATGTTGGTTGATTTCAATTATATATGACCAATCATTAAATATGATTATCATAATATAGGTATAATATTGTAGGGACACAGCATAAGTGTATTTAGCTGACCTAACATTTTAGCTTGCGTCGGAGCACACTTGCTCGCGCTCGCCAGTCGTTCTCCGTCACACCTAGCGCTAACTCGTTGATAATTGTTTCCAGTACGCACCTAGTTTATAGACTATATAATTTTGTAATATATATATATATACTTTATTGTTTATGATCAATATAACTAATTCCAGTGATAAATCTTAGTGTTTTTATTTACAACCTTCTGATGGAGTAATATCCGTTCAAATAGTGAAAAGTGAATATCAAATATCGGACAGAATAAGAGTACTATAACACATAACGGACAGTGGTGACCCCGTAAGAACACAGACTTTATAAATAATATTATAGGGAGCGACTCACGTGCGGTACGGTTAGCGTTACGGTAAAAAAAATTCACCGACCGTTTTATAACGAAGTAAACGTTTATTACGTATTTTTATTGTGATACAATGGCTCAACCACAATATCATACGCAACCAAAGGGCGGAGCAGTTCCGAGTGGATCTCCAGGGGAAGCTAAGACGCAAATGGACTTAGCCGTAGTAACGGTATCTTCCCGTTTGCCAGAATTCTGGATGGATCAACCAAGACTCTGGTTCATTCAAATCGAGGCCATTTTGAATGCGCAAAAATTGAGTGAACAAGCAAGATACGATCTCGTCATCGGAAAGTTAAACAAAGAGATAATAAGCCAAATAACCGATTTATTACTACAACCTCCGGATAGGAAAAAATATACAAGTTTAAAGAATAAATTACTGTCAATTTATGAAGAATCGGCGACAAGACAATTGCATAAATTGTTAGGCGAAATGGAACTCGGAGAACAAAAACCATCACAGCTGATGAGACGCATGCGTGACTTGGCACGCGGAAAAATACCTGATGACACGTTGTGCATATTATGGCAAACCACCTTCCACCAGGAACGAGAGCAGTTTTAGCTGTATCAGAAAACAAAAAGCTGGACAGTTTGGCAACCACTGCAGACACAGTTATGGAAGCTACACGACCAATACAGCTAGCCGAGGTTACTTCATCAAAGACCAGTAATTATGGAGCATCCAACACTAAATTGGCGGAGATAGCAAAGCTAAGTACATGACTCGCCAGCATAGAGGGAAGAAATGAAGAACCGAACAGAAGACCCAATTGTTCATGTGGAAGAAGAAGAAGTATTTCTCGTGATCGCAATAATAGAAGACGACGTTCAACATCGAGGAGGCGAACGCCGGACAGCCCACATTGGCTTTGTTCATATCATTTTCGTTACAAGGAGAGAGCTCAAAGGTGCATTCAGCAAGCGGGAAACTAACTGATGCGCGAGCTATGGCGAAAGCTTGCGCAGTCGAGCCATCCCACCGCCTTTGTGTCACAGACTACAACAGTGAACTTTCGTTTCCTCATAGATACAGGTGCCAACATTTCAGTTTTACCAGTTAAGACTAAATATAATAATATAGAATGTTCAGATTATAAATTATATGCAGCAAATGGAACAGAAATTAAAACATATGGTATAAAGAATTTAGAATTAAATTTAGGTTTGCGGCGAGCATTTAAATGGACATTTGTAGTAGCAGATATTCGGCAACCAATATTAGGTGCCGATTTTTTAAATAAATATGGTTTATTAGTAGACATAAAAGCTAGGAAACTTGTAGATAATGTGACTAATGCATTTATTGTAAACGTTAATGCATTTATTGTAAATTCCAGGGAATCCGTGGTGAAGACAGTGGAAGAGAGTCATCCTTATCATTCATTATTAAGCAAGTATCCCGACATTACTAAACCAGTAAATTTTAAAGAACCGCCTAAACACAATGTGTACCATCACAGATTCAGTTACGAAACCCGATAGATACCTAATTCCGAGAATACAAGATTTTACATATATGTTGTCTGGTAAGAAATATTTTTCAAAGTTAGATGTTAATAGAGCTTACCATTTTATTCCGATCGCGGAAGAGGATATTGAAAAAACCGCGATTATCACACCTTTTGGCCTTTTCGAATTTCCTAGAATGATGTTTGGTATGCTTAACGCAGCTCAAACCTTCCAAAGATTCATGGCTACAGTTTTTCAAGGGCTAGATTTCGTATTTACTTTCGTTGATGACGTATTAGTTAGTAGTTATAGCGAAGAAGAGCATCAACAGCATCTGGAGATGGTTTTCCAGAGACTGAACGAGTATGGTATCACAATTAACATTTCAAAATGTTCTTTCGGTAAGTCAAAAATCGAAATTTTAGGGTTCGAAGTGACACCAGAGGGTATAACGCCACTACAGGATAAAGTCGCAGCGATATCAACTTATCCTAAGCCAGAGACGATTCAAGATCTTCGACATTTTCTAGGTATGTTGAATTTTTATCGGTCATTCCAAAGGCAGTGGAGCATCAGGCAGAGTTAAATAAATATTTGCATAATTGTAAAAAGAAAGATAAAACTCCAATTGTTTGGACGAACAGGTCCACAGAAGCTTTTGAGCAGTGTAAGACGAGCCTACAAAAAGCCGCTACATTGTCTCATCCTTGTATAGATAAACCTATAGCGCTTATGACAGACGCTTCAGACATATGTGTTGGTGCAGTTTTACAACAAAAAATTAACGAATTTTGGCAACCATTAGGTTACTTTTATAAAAGAATGACAGCTGCATAGCAAAAATATAAAAAATATATAGTACGTATGATAGAGAGTTATTAGCAACTTTTTTGCAATTAGATATTTTCGAAAATCATTTGAAGGGCAACAACTGATAATTTTTACCGATCACAAACCCTTAATTCATGCATTAAAAAAGTTAGATAGTAATAAAGAAACACCACGTCGCACTAGGCAATTATTATTCATTAGTGAATTTTCAACAGACATACGATATATAGAAGGTAAGAATAATATAGTAGCAGACACATTATCGCGCGTCGAGACTATTTCCTGTCTCACAGTACTCGATTACGATGAGCTTGCAGAAGCGCAAAAACAGGACGACTACATTGCGCAAACATCACGTACTAGCAACGATAACAAGGTATGCATTAAAAGCGTATATGTACCTATGTGTAATAAATCGATATATTGTGAGACTTCAACAAACAATGTCAGACCCTATTTGCCACAAAATTTCAGAAGAATTACATTTGATGCTTTACATAATTAAAGTCATCCGGGGATACACACGACAAAAAATTAATTACACAAAAGTTTTTTTGGGCAAAATGTTGTATTAAATGTCAAACATCAAAAATTAAAAGACTTACGGTATCCGAATTTGGCGAATTTCCTACAGTAAATCGTTTTGAACACATTCATGTAGATATAATCGGACCGTTACCGACCACGGCACAAGGTTATAGATATTGCGTTACAGCTATTCATAGAAAAACCCGATGGCCAGAAACATTTCCTGTTCAAGACATAACAGCGGAATGCGTAGCTAAAAACATTTTTGAAGGATGGATTGCTCGTTATGGATGTCCGAGCAAAATATCCAGTGATCAGGGTAGACAGTTCGAGAGTAACTTGTTTACATCGTTATTAAAGAATTTTGGCATTAAGAGACAAAGGACGACTGCATATCATCCGCAGAGTAACGGTATGGTAGAGCGATGGCATCGTTTGTTGAAAAACAGCGAGATTGAATAATTCTTCGTGGGTTGACGAATTGCCCACAGCTATGTTAAGTCTTCGTGCAGCAATGAGGAGCGATAACAGCGTCAGCGCAGCCGAAATGACATTTGGGCAAACTTTACGTTTACCTGGTGATTTTTATGACATCACTAATGCAGAGGTAAGTGACGACTTTAATTTAGTTGAGAAAATACGTCACTCAATAGCTAAATATAGGCCCAACTTAAAAAGCAATAGCAACACACGATCTTTTTTCGTTCATCCAGATTTGAAAAACGTGTAGTCGTGTTTTTGTAAGGGATGACACTGTTAGACGACCCTTAAAGTCACCTTATGATGGTCCATATAGTGTTTTAAAGCGTTCAAGTAAAGTATTTTTGATACAATTGCCAGACCGCAAAGTAAATATATCGATAGACCGCTTGAAACCGGCGTATGTATTGAACGATAACGACATCACGCCCACAGTCACTCAGCCAAGTAGTGATAAAGTAAATGTAGACTCAAGTAAAATAAGAAATTCGATTGTTTTCAAGACTAGGAGTGGTCGTACAATTAAACCACCAGTTCGATTTATACAATAACGATCCCGTAGGCCGTGTTGCTCAACAGGTACGTCGCATACTTTGTTGGGATGCCAAGGGCAAATTGTTTTCATAGAGTTACATTGAGATAGCATGATTGTTTTATATAATGATTTTCTATTCCACTGAATACGTCACATTGGTTAGTGTTTTAGAGACGTATTAATAAAAGAAATGTGTAGTCAGAATCTATTGATATGTATAAATTTATCGCAAAACGACAAACATAATTGTCCAAGGTGCAAAATACATACTTAACGGTATTTAGGTCACTATACAGTAAGTAAATATTGTAAACGTTGTAACTTTTACGCACGTACAAAAATCGATGAATATAAAAGTATATAAAGAAAGTAGCTGATAATTATTATATTCATTTTTATAAAATTTTGGCAGTGCAACATCGTTAATATTTAATTATCATGGGCTGGGGACAAAGCAAACAAGAAAACGTAGCAGTCGCTCAGGCTCAGGCAGTGGCAGATAATAACGCAAAATTCGAGTCAAAGATAGACTATTTTGTCGATTATAGTATTAGTTGCAGTCATATTATTAGTGTGCATCATTTTATGTGTATAGCAGTGGTCGGAATTAGGTAGAGTTATTCATGTACTTACACTGATTTCAAACAGCGAAAGAATAAAGTGGATATGCCTCAAATCCCGAGATTAATTTTAAAGAGCAGAAAAAATCCCGTGATTTTTTAAATAAAAAGTTATTTACTTTTACACAATTTAAACTACTGCACGCACTACGTTGCCAAACTTACATCAATGACATCGGGTGTCCAAAGTTGCAAAATACCAATACGCGCGATGTTGCCACGAAGGTCCACATTAATATCAACATTTCGATGCAAGTACATAACTAACTCTACCTAATTCCGACCTCTGGTTATAAGAAAGCAGTATAAAAAAACCACCAAAACATGGTTAAGAAAGCAAGTTTCTAATGGTGGCATACAGGAACAGCCCGTAATTAGAGTACAGTCGTTGCCACAACAAATCGCTCATTTGCGACAAGAACGTGTTAATGCAAATATGTATCGTTATTGAATAATAATACAGTAGAATTCGGCGCATCGTGCTCTACTTGCTGCTAAAACGCGATATTTCTAGTGCCGAAAATGACCGAGTAATGAAAGAAAAGGTTGGCGACTATCGGTTTAGCGCTATCTCTTTCCGCTCCTAAGTTTAATGCAAGATCGGTTTATGTCAGTTGTCGCCGCTCGCTTGAGGGGGAAAGTGCTGCCTGATTGCGGCAAAAATGTAACAGCTCATGGTGTCACGGTTTTGTTGAAAAGGTAAATACAGCTTTTTGTTTTTTTAGTGATTTATTTTTGCAGCTATAACGGGACATTTTTATGTGGCTCATTATTGTAGTAAAAATAGTAATCGCATGCTATGGTTTACATAGACTTCTACCGTTGTTGCTGAAATAAACAATATTTTTGTAGGTTAATTTGAGATGTTCCGTTACAGTTGATAATAAAAGTACAAAATGTTTGGTACTAATGTTGGTTATCTCAAATTAACACTTTCTTGATAAAAAAATAATACATTTTTACAACGAATAGCTTACAATGTTGCATTATAAATGATAAAAATATTGAAAATTTACTTACTGAAATTCCAGTCTTAATTACACAATCTTAGAATTCCTCTTCCACTGTCGCTGAATCTATTTTAAAGGCAAGTTTAAATAATTGAAATAGCCAATTTAAGTCTCAACACATTGATATAATAAAATCTTTTAATCAGCTAAAGAAAAAGAAAACCGCTGATTTATGGGGTAATTCCATTGAAGTTTCTAAATCGGTAATTGAGACAATAGCTCCAATCCTAGCTTATATATTTAACGAATGTACAGACTGTGGTATTTTTCCTGAGCTCATGAAATATAGCAAAATTATTCTTTTACATAAATTGGGTAGCACATCTGACCCAACTAACTTTAGAACTACATCCGTGCTACCTACATTTAGTAAGATTTTTGACAAAATCATGCTGGATAAAATACAAACATACTTTTACATGAATAAGCTTATGAATCGATAACAATTTGGTTTTACAAGGGGTCGCTCAACAACCGAAGTCGGTGTAGAGTATATACAAGAAATGTTTAATGCCTGGGAGGATTCACATGATGCGTTAGATGTTTTCTGTGACCTATCTAAGGCATTTCATCATGTTTTTCATGAAACATTGATTAATAAACTTCATTTTTATGGATTTACAGATAACTCATTGGATTTTATTGTGTTGTACTTGACTGACAGAGTACAGAGGGTTGATACCAATGGCAAAAGATCCCCTGGGTCGAAAGTTAAGATGGGTGTTCCGCAGGGCTCAATACTTGGTCCTTTCTTGTTTTTAATTTATATTAATAACTTGCCTTATTTCGTAAGGGTTGATCACGAAATAGTTTTGTTTGCGGATGAGACTTCACTTTTGTTTAAAATTAAATGAGGGTTAACTCTTAATGACGATGTGAACAATTCTATTGCTAAAGTAGTACTTTGGTTTAATATAAATAATCTTCTTCTTAATGAAGGAAAAATAAAATGCCTAAAATTTGTACTACCTAATGTTAAAAAAGTAGATATAAATGTTAATATAAAAGATAAGAACATGGGCCTTGTGGATACCACGGTATTTTTAGGAATAACATTAGATTCTAAACTACAGTGGGGCCCATATATTGAAAAATTGTCGAGTAGACTTAGCTCTGCAGCATATGTCGTAGGGCCACTTGCAGCGAAACATTAAATCTCGATTTAATTTAAAATAAACTCGACTTAAGTTTAAACTTCGATTAACGTCTTGCACTTCATCGATTTAGTGTAAATCTCGATTTACGTAGACGTCAAACTTAAATCGGCATTTGGGTCGGTTTAACTTGCTAAATCTCGATTTTGCCACCATTTTTGTACTACTGCTAAAGATTTATTGTGTTCAGTTTGTTTGTTAATTTTGTTTATTTTTGAATAATAATGGATTTATTTTCGAACATTGATCATGATTTATTGTCCGATGATGATGAAGAAATTGTGCAATATTTAGATACTCCCTTTTTCTCTCGAAGAGTCTTTGTTGAAAATGATTTATTCGGCACATTACGAGATGATGAATTCGTGAAACGGTTCCGCCTAAGTAAACAAAGTGCAGTGTTCCTTCTTGATAAAATGGTACACAAGTTTCCTAATGACTTTAACAGGTAAGCTGATGAGGTT